ATATTGTATTTAAATAATCTAAGATTGAAACTTCAGTCACTCAGATTATTAAAACAATTTCGACAATTGATATGTAATGATTTACCGAATCCAACCTAGTTTCTCTCATGGTTTACGTGAGTGAGGCCATCGAGATCTGTATTTCACAAACCTAATTTTTGTATTCAAAAGAAGTTTTTACAACCTCTCTTATTACCTTACTTATTAGTATCGGGGAACAGTTTCATCTATCACATAAAAGTTACTTATTATTTCGCTTTCTTTCTGAAATTCCATTTGTCTTTTTGTTCCGACTCAAAAATTGTTATTTTTCGTTCTTATTTATTCGTTCGTCAGGTATTTTACTGAGAACCATACCGTAAGCGTGAGGGCTAGCGATACTACCCGGTTGCCCAAACTGAAGCAGGTAGGGCGGATTTTGGACCTGGAACTTAGTGGTTGAAGGTTAGATGCTATAAGCAATGAGCCACCACTTTTTACGCAGGTATTCATGAAACTTTTTCTCATCAAAACCTTTCAATCCCCTAGCCAGATATCTAATCTATCAATCTCTTAACAATCTATTTCAATTCATTTGTTAACAATAATGGTAGGATAAATATATTATTCATCATTGCCTTTAAATTAATTTCTTAATCATTTATCACTTTTAGAAATAATTCTGATTTTATAATACGGTTAAATAAACCATCCTTTCGGTTTTTGTTGTATTTATTTATTTATTGTTTATTTGAACACATAAACATTGGTATAAGGAGGCACCAAGTACATATGCGCCACACAATAACAATGAGGCCAGTAGCAGTTATCATTAATATGTGTGAGGGCATTAAAAAAAAGTGAATTAACGTTAGAACAACTATTACTTACACAATTATTAATTTAATAATTATTGAAATTGAATTAGGTGCCTCGGAATGCATAAAATAGTTCATCGCATCTCTCTGGTCCAACATGTTGCTCTAACTGGGTTCGATTCATTGTATAAAGATCCATTCCTTTAAATCCTTTCAAAGCAGATATAGCTCTGAAAAAGTAAATCATAAATTTCAGACAATGCACATTATCACCATTAATAAGTCGTTTGTGTTCATATAAATGATAAACTACTATGAATAATAAATTAAATCATTTGTTAGTGTATTGATATTCTGTTTAATTCAGGATTCTAATCCTAAATAGGAAAACTTAATGTATGTTAAGAGCAGTATCAGTTCATTTAGAAAATAGTTACTTTTACGACAATATTTTCAAGAGTTTTGGACAAGATATCATTCATATAGGTTACATCTCTTTTAGTCCTAAGCAGTTGCTAGTTTTATTATAATTTCTAATGTATAAAATCACTTAATCTAACAACACATTCACAACATTGGTTTAATATGCATGCATATGGAAAAAAATAAAATGTTTATTGTAAATAAAATAAGTGATTATAAGTAGTTTATTCATATAATTTAATTATCTTTGTAATAGCTATACAAATTGGATACGAATGTTTGCTAATTTTGATCAAAACATTGCTAAGTAATAAACATTAGTTGATTTTTGAGTCAACAGTATTTATATGTGAGTATTTATCAATTTTACGTAGGGGAAATTAATTTACTTTCATTTATATTCTTTTTTACATTTCACTGTTTTAATGAAGATTATAAGAGTAATGCAAAGAGAACATTTAGCTAACATGTTAAACTGTACTTACGAAGATATTTGCAGTATAACTACCTTTGTACAATTATATATTTATTTTCCTAATACGTGTAACGTAAATAGAAATCACTTCAGAGTTATGATACATTTATCTAAATGTGCTATAGTTTTGTGTATATATTAGAAATTTTTAGATATATTTTACCAAATCATAACTCAAGAATGTAGTTAAATGACGGAATACAGATAATATATTTCTAATAATTCATTCATACAAATCTAGGGAAGACCCTAAAGTTATTACAAAAATATTAAATGAATTCGACAGTGAATGACTTTCGAAGATCTCATTGTACAAACCGTAAGAAGTATACTATTTTCATTTGGTAAAGTCCACTTAAGTTGAGCCACTGTAAATGTTTATGCTTAGGAAGGTTTGAATTAATCTAATGTAGTACAATGTTTGTTTTAAATAGTTCCTGAGATATGGTCGTTTGCTAATCTAAATTAAATAATATTTAAAAATTTAAGAATTATCATTTAGTTGAAAGAACATTTGAAGGTTGTACGGTTGGGATCTAAACACGTGTACAATAATTCATTCTGTTTAGGATTTTGACAAATTAGTAGACGGTTTTTTCTCTTGTTTAACATTAGGATCATCGATCGCCTATTTGGTAACCTTACTAGTGTTATAGGTGAGAACTAAAAGAAATTATTGATAAACACTTGATATTATGAATAATTTGAACACAAATATATTTATCAGGAATTTTATACATATCTTTATTGGGAAATTTCGTTACATCTTAATTTCACTTTTTTATGTTTGGGCACTTACTTTGGCGAGAATTGATGCGCTACTAACCATTCTGCAACTTCTTCCTTGGATGCATATTTTGATAATCTTTGATCAGGTTTATCAAGTGTCGTGGAGGGTATAGGCACTGATTTAAGACCAGTTCCTCCTCCAAGTTGCATTTTAGACAATCTTTCTCTCAATTCTCTTGTCATAGTATGCATATGAGTTGCTATAATATACAAATACATAGCATAAATTTACAGAAAAGAAATGGGATTATTACTTATAAATGCAAGGATTAGTTTATCGTGAAGCAGTTAGTTATTTATTAAATTTAATTAAAAGTTAGTGCAACAATGGTTTGTATGAAAAAATCGATTATTTAAAGACAGATCATACGTAATGCAAGCATGGGAGGTTGAGTGTTTTTTCTTAGTATTTTAATTTTGTTGCTATTAAGCATGGCATTAAATACTTGCACCTCAGGACAATTGTCTATAATAAGTTATTCTACATTTTATACTTTTTATACTGATGGAACTGAATTTATGTAAGTAAGGTGCACTATTATCATATAGTTGCTTCATATCGTAACATCCATTGATGATAAAATAATAGGCGTCTCAATATATTAGTCAGTAACTTTGATAAGATAAGCAGTATGATCTCGATTTGAGTTTGTCAATTTTCAGATTGAAACAGTTGGAAACTAAACATACACACAGTAAAAATCAATCAGATCACTTATTTTTTTTATTAAATTAAAGAAATCTTATTAAACATAAATGAAGCAACCCTGTTTACATTTGAGAATAGAATTTTCTTATCAATCATATAATAAGTCTATTCGCAATTCGTTATATCTTTATTGCAAGATTGGTACACAACATACAGTGCTTGATATCATCCAAGTCAGCAAAATCGCTCTTTTTTGGTTATATGACTTATTATTAATCAGTGAGTGTTACCATAATGATATGGAAAGATATTTAGTTTCTCACTGGATAATAAATTCCTTAATTAATTTTATCATCTAAGTATTGAGGATCGGAAATAAATGAGTGATTTATAGAAATAATGTTGTAAAAATGAAGAATCTTTTCATGATATGCTTTGCAAACACAGATATTCAATAAAAAATACGTTTATAAATATTCAGATTTTGAGCGATTCAGAATGGTCAATAAAAATAGTAGTTCTCTAAATGTTTTTTTTCATGCATGGAATGTAATCTTGAGCTAAAATTGAAACATATTCAAAGTGATTTTTATCAAATAACATCAAGAAAATGTTATTCACAGTTTACTGATCAAGTGAATATCGTCCTAGTTTGTTTCTGATGATTGAAGTAAATTAAATTCAACACTATTTGTTGATATTCTCCACTGAAATAATGTTTTAATACTGGTATACTTATCATTTTTCTATGTTATATATTCAAGAATAGTTTTGTTTAAGTTCACTTAAATGAAAACAATATCCGAGTATAATTTGACTCGATTGTATGTGAACTGATTTCAAGTTAATGATTTTAACTATTTAACACTTGAAAACTAGTAACAAATAGATATTTTCTCTTCTATTTCTTAAAATGGGTCATTTTTAATGTAAACTAAAACTATCTACCAATGTCTATAAAATGTCTGTTTTCATTGAAGTACATCATCATTGTGAATCATTTCTCTGAATTTCTCATCACTTTGTTTCTATGAAATGAATACTGTATACTCTTCATATTTATTTAAATCAGGGTCGCATAAATTTTTGATTTTTTCCTTTGAACTAAGTTTCATTTTTTCTGAAATCAATAAAAGCACTGATGTTTTCAGGATTAAGTTCCAGGTGTCTTTTAAATATGGTATAGTTGAAGTGGGCAACTTGTTACTATTATGCATTTTCAGATAACGTCTTAATTACAATGTCGTGTAAACCTAATACTTTACGCATATTGATAGCAAATGCTGATTGGGAAGCATTCCTAGTTTCATAATCGTTCTTTTGACTTTTTATCTTATTTGAATTATACCTAAACTTTATAATCAGAATAACATACATAATAATGGGTGAACTAACGATATTAACACCCATAATACAATACTAGAATACATCATAAGACGAAGTAAGTATATAGTTTAGGTGAAGTAAGAGATTCTCGATGAATACTGACTTTTCATAACAATTAATTATTAGCAAACATGAACCGTTTTATAATAAAATATTTCTTCACCAATCGATTAGTTATATTTCACATTATAGAACGAATGTGATAATGAATTAAATGAAACGGTAACAAATATTTAATTTATGAGCAACGCGGGTGAATAAACAGTAGGATATTGGTGATTTTTCGTTAGATTATTTAAAAGTAAACTTTGATGATAAGCATTATTATTATTATTATTATTATTATTATTATTATTATTATTATTATTATTATTATTATTAGCATTAAAGTTTGATGTGATAGAACAACTATTTTAACCTAATTAATTGATAAATTAGACAATATCATTGACAAATTCAAATATTTCAATGTATTTGTTGAATGAAATGTAATAAATATATTTTAACGAGATATAATAATAATCATTTTAGTAAAAACGACCAATTAAAGCGTTCACCAGAAATGCTGTTATCTGGCTTTTGTTTAGTACGTTAATCATTAAGCTTGGTTTATTATAAAATTGAAAGAAGTTGAATATGTGCCAAATACGGTTGTGCATGATTTGAAAACTATACAATTATTGAGATCATGAATCGACTAATGTTAGACCACCATTGAAAACCTGGAGGCACTGGCCGGCTGTTCCATCCTAGTATGGGACTCCTCAGCAGTGCACATCTATGATCCTTCGTACAGGAATCGAAGCCAGGACCTTCGGTCTTGAGCACAAATGCTTAATTTCCAGACTAAAGAGCCAGCGTACAACGAGTGTTAATGTCTAACTTTAACCAATTCACGAAACTGGTATATATATATATAATGGATGATTTTTTATTTCATAGAAAGTTTAAAGAAAATTTCGTTTAGTCTATGCTGTAATGAATATTCGTTTTAATTAATATGCTTTAAAAATACGTATTTAAAGTTCTGAAATACGTCCATTGTGGTTTAGTGGATGTAAATTAACTTTAAATTGAATTCAGTGACTTTTATATGGATATATAAAAGAATCAGTTTTTTGTTTTATTAACATGAAAATAACTATTTATTGTATTATTAGTTTCGATTAGTAACAAGTTTTTATAAGATAGAGAGAATTTAACTAGCAGTAGGATTCAGGGTGCACGTTTCGTGTTGGTACATCCGGTTGATGAGTACCAAATAGGACAAAAATCACATCCTGGATTCCACTGCTGGTCTGATCCCATCTAATCGATAGAATGACGGTAATTTTCATGTATAGTTTTTGTGGATAATAATAATATATTTTGATATTCCACAATCATTAGCAACAAGCAGATTAATAGTTGGGTCCATGATAAATGCTTAATGCGTAATCAAGTTGAGTAAGATCTGGTTATTCTGGTAACAGTGATAACAAAGCTATAAGAGCCTTCATAAGACTGACTATCAGTCATGAATAACTAACTATAAATTTGCGTATATGGATGCTAATCAGCTCCATAATAAAAATTTAGGTATTTAAGGCACAAATGTTCATATGGGAGATTTTTAATTAGTCACTAAGCCTATTGAAAACCTAACAGGAAATGATAAACAAACATTACATAAACATTAAAACTTAAACAGGCAAAGATGGATGGTTGCTAGCAGTGGAATCCAGGACGCGCATTTCGCCCTATCCGGGACTCGTCATCTGGATGTACTTGATATTCACTCCGGGACTCGAACCTATTAACGTCATCTGGTTATCCACTTAGCTAGTGAGTGCAGATAGCCACTAGCTTGTACAGTGAGGTGAAGTTTTAATTCATACAAACAATCAATGCAAAAAAGAATTGAAATTCAAATTTTTATGGCTGAGATATTAAATTTTTAATAAACTTAATAACTAAAAAGTTCCCATATGAATATTTATGCTTCACAACAAATACCTAAATTTTTATTATAGAGCCGATTATCATCCATATATTCAAATGAGGGTTAATCTAAACAGAAATAAAGGTTTCATAACTGTTCAAGTACAATTCTGTTTTTGCTTTTTTTTTGCTTAAAAATAAACATGTTAAATTCGATCAACTAACTTGCAATAATCCGTATTACTTAAATCGTTTAGTCATTAATAATGTTAGGTAATAAAATGTTTTTGTTTTGACAACGAAATAGAAATATATATTGATGACATTTGAATAGTGTGTAGAAACAATGTGTGTATTAATAAGAAATAGAACAAAACTTTAAAAAAATTTATTCAAAAAAACTGTCAGTTGATAAACTGTTACAATCCAAACAGCACTAAACAATAGTTACTTTTTTTTCTAGTTTTAGACTATCTAACAGTAGATATCATTGCCATCTTACAGAATGAAAACGTTTTCGGTTAATTTCATAACCTTCTAGGTAAGAAACTATTTCTCACATGATACTAATCTTTCCAATTAATCAAATTCTCAGAATTATTCCATCTTATGAGTGATATATATAACTGAAAATGAAATGTTTCTACAACTGAAATTAAGATTTGATGATTTAGTGTTAGAAAAATCAGTATACGATATAGCAGTTATAACAAACCATGTTAGATGAAAATTAGTACAACAAAAGGATAATTAGGCAATATAACCAAAAGAAATAATAAACAAGTTACAATCTACTGTTAATTAATATCACAAAATAGAACTTACGATAATTGAAAGGATATGGAGAGTAGCCCAAAGCTAACACAAACAAATGCATACACACAGATATACATATAGATATACATTAAATTATGCAAGAATTGTACGACACTCCTAACTGAGAATCAAAAGTAAGAAGTGTATTAAGTATTATTAATCCATTAAAATGTTTTAAACGATCGATGTATTATTATAACAAAAAATATACACATTACGCATTTCAATCTATCTAAAAAATAACCTTTTTCTTTTGAATGAATGTGAAATGTCCACTAGTATTATTGTGCTCAAACTGCATATGTGATGCATGATATTCAATATAGTAGAGCAAAAAAACTAGAAAAGAAAAAAGCTTCACGCAAAATCTACTTGATTAATTGGTATGAAATTAAAGAGTATGGTATCGCACAAGACAACAAGTAATAGAGATCAGAGATGCATGGATATTCCAATCTTGAACCTGCAGATATGCGAGACTAATGAGAAATGTTTGAAGTCCTAAATTAAGTCCTGAGGTGTGTATAGATAGGGTGATTTCCATTACTTTAGAATTCTCGATACTTTGTTGACTAACATTATCACTTTTAGAATGCTTTCTACATTAATAATTAATTGCTAAGGAGGTGTTTTGATGTCAAACTCTAGAAATAACTTTTATAAAATTTGTAATCAAAAAGTAATGTGTACCATTGATCAACTTCAATTTTTAGCATATAGTAGTTACTCTGCAAGAAACTTATTTTCAGAGCCAGAGCATCCCCAAATATCGAATAAAGACTTTTCATGTTGTTTGTTCTGTTCAGATGAATAAAATATTTTTTCCTGTATGCTAAAATTATTTTTCAAATATATGAGATAGAAGACAGTACTTCGAAATATTTTACGTCAGGTACTGATGATCTAAGATTTATGAACCAATGAATACTTGCTTAATCTTTTAAAGTTGCAGCTAACAAGAATTAAGTCTTTGGTCTGCAAAACGTGTCAGTGAATAATTGTATGATAAGTTCAGTACACAAAAGTCAATGATTACATTGGCCTTTTTTAAAGTAGTAATAATTTGTATTGTTTGTGTTATTATGACACCTAACAGTGTGCAGTTGTGTGATACATAAACTATTTCATCATACAACGTTATTATATAGATATATACGTATGCAAACTAAACAAAACGATTTCTTATTGCCCAAAAAATTATTTTCATCTATGTAAATTTAAATCTTGCTTTATATGGTAGTTTCTTTCCTAAAAAGCTATTGATAAAGGATATATACTAAATAATAATTCGTTCAAAGTATCATAAAGCCTATCAGTTTATTTTGAATCCTCCTTCTATCTTTAACAAAATTATCAAAAGATTGAGATCATAATATTTTCAGTTTCTGATGAGCTAGTTCTATATGATTTTATTAAATATCTTGAAATATAACAAATAAAATTAGAATTAACAGAAATCCATTTTTCGGATCATGTGTGGACTCAATGAAGGGATTTCAGATAATGAATCAAACAATGATAGCTGCTACACACTATACTCATTTTCTTCGTAAATGATCAGATGTTTTACAGTTTCCACGAAAGTTTCAGGTTATAAAATGATAGATTAACATTTTGAGTTTGTACCATAATAGGAAAAACACCAAATTATACCAGCATTTTATCCAAATCGATCGATTTTGACCCATGAAACCTAAAGTCTGTGGTCAATTAACTTAATAAGGTCTATCAAAAGGCTTATACGTTTCTATATGACTTCGATTAGTAGCTCAGAAAAGTCGGAGATTTTTGTACGAACTTGTGGAGTAGAAAATTGAGAATATGACTACATTTTTATTTAAGAGAAAATTTAAAATTCCAACATTAGTTTAACGCTGCATAAAACTGATTTGCATAGAAATTACAATCTGTAGGAAAACATTATTGCTACTATTCAGGAAAACTGATTTTCACACAAAAGAAATTAGTTAAACGGTTCAACTGTCAATATTAACATTTAATGATTTATCCTTTTAATTAGTTAATTATGAATAATATAAGCAAATAACTAACCTTCAGCTTCATTTATCAATGAATACATCACATGGTGATAACAATGATTATGGTTAGGTTAAAAGTTAAAAAAGAAAACAAAACAATTGATGAAAGCATGAAAAGATATCACTAAATATGAAATTAAAACTGAACATTATAAAGAGTCAGATGTATAGTTACATGGATTTTGACATGTAATGTAGACAAAAATTTCAGAATATTTATACTGGTATTGATGATAGTGAAATAATTCAAGTTTTATGAATAGAGAGAAGTGCTTACATCAATTTTTGTTCTCAATCCACAATAACATTTGTTATATCTTAAAGATATCTTAAAGGAATATTAATGTTTATTGTATATTGTTAATGCACTGGAACACAAAATGTCCTATTTACTTGGTGTTACTTGTGTTAGCAACCAGAACAATATTCAGTTATATTTTAGGGAACAGCTTTTATAAAAATGTTGCATAAATGAATTGCGCTAGTAAATCACATAGTTTTGATAATCTTCGTTTTCTTATTACATTATCGAAATAAATCAGTGAGCTGATTTTAAGTATGTCGGTCAATTGTGTAATCACTTGTTCCCAGTTTTAGTATTATTATCTACTACTTTACATGTTTTCATTTTATTTGGTTAATACTTCCGTATATAACTGTGCATGCATCTTAATAATAATGTGGAATGTCGTCTATGTCATATTTTCTGGCCTGTTATTTCATTGTAGATTTTCATTTCAACCACCTAAACTAAAGGATATCACTCATCTTTTTTAAACCCCATAATTATTCGTAATTCTAGACAGTTTGCAGTCGGAGAGAAACCATAAAAATGCATACACTTATATCTATTTCCGAATCATACTATTTATCCTTGCTTTGTTCAAAATTATGAAATGATCCAGATTTGTGAGATTCTACCTTTTTATTAGAATGAAAAGTTTACAATCATTGCTTAAAAACTAGTATTAGAACATTACATCATTGTTTTTATGCATAAAGTTGACAGTTTATTCAGCTGAGAGATGTACTAATCTATTTGGAAAATGTCTATTAACACGATAAATAATCTAATTATATACTTAAGGTGGTCGATAGTTTGATACTACAGCACCGAAAACCATATTCATAATTCAATTAAATTCTGTAAGCTGTTTAATTTAAAGCTCTTTAAACGTGCCCTAAATTTCAGATGAATTATAATATCATTTTCTGATTAAATATTGTAAGTTTGGAAACCTTAATGACCTTTCCTAATGGAGTATCGTCAACTAGACATTTTCATAGGAACTGACAAATTTCAATTAACATTAAGTACGTACAGAAAACGGAAAAATGTCCTGTCAAATATGCTAAAATAATAAAAACCCAATGAAATTAGCAATATAATGAATGTATACAATCAATAATAGGGAAATTTACTTGCTGAAGTGCTCAATATTGGAGCTGGTTTCCAGCCTGGTCCTAATGCACCAGGATTGGGAGTTCTCGCTAACTCAGCACCATTTGTATTTGGGTTAATTAGATTAGACCAATTAATCGCTGACATATCGGAATTATTACTATATAAACTAGGCACTGGAATTAATATCATTGGCAAATTACTATTAATTTTGATTGCTTCTTGAAGTTGTGATGGTGTTATATACATAACGTTATTATTAGCGTGGGTATTAAAATTATCATTCATAATTCTATTATCAATGTTAGAATTTTGTCCTGTAGGCGAATTAGGTATACTTAAATTTAAAACAGAAGTATCTGTTTGCCTAGTTGGAGACTTATCACGTAGTATACTTTTGGGCGCATGTGAATTATTTCTTTGTGACTGGAAATTGGAATGATTTTCCAAACTAGCATTATCATTTCCAAATGTTTCAGTAGATTTTCTACTGAATAAATTATTCATCGATGGAGTTTTCTTTAATCCAGCTGTAGTTGGATGATCCGGTCGATAATTATAAGCTTTTAATTTCCAAGCAGGTACTTCACCAGATTCTCCTGCATCATTTTGTAATAACCACCAATCACCTTTACTGCTATTTAGAATCTAAACCAACAAGTGAAGAAACAATTATGGAATATTTCATTAGACTTGAAAATGAATTGGAAGACTTATATTTATGATCTGAAACATTTTCTTCTCAAAATGTGAATGCCTTCAACCAACTGCTTTATGAGTTCGTATTTTTCTTATATTAAAAATAGTAACTACAGTCAAACTAGACATTATCATTAGTTCAATACTACATTGTATCAAACCCACACAACTGTAAGCATTCTATGAAATGATCAACTGGATACTATTAACAAAATATGTAGTGAATAGTATGTAGAGTTTGTGAATCTAAGAAAAACATCAGAAGATTGCTAGTATGCTACGTAATTTAACGTAGACCGTTTTAATATTTTGCCATCAGATGTGATCTGAATTTACATAACTCATCTCAATTTTATTTGGTTCGAAAAAAGTATATACAAATGATTAATTTAAGCATGGGGCCTTGAATCGAATATGACGAAACTTCAGATATCAGGAAACATCGTCCACTAACCTATGATATGTTGTCCTTGTTATAGAGTCATCTTAAAATAAGTTACTCTTGTATACACTGAATTATTTAAGTATGTAATTGGCAGGATAGGAGTTTATTTACTGCCTCGAGGTTACAATTGTGCTTTAATCTAAAAACTTAAAAAGTCACAAGTAAAGAGTAGTTATCCATGTTTGTGTTTAAAAAAAGTTTATGGTGAGGAGTTAATACCAGCTACAGGATTTTCTTTATGTAAAACTGAATTTCATATATTAGCTAAGCTTCTACCAGTCTGATAATGACTTCTGTCATAAACTATGGAGATAATAACACCGCTTTTATTTTTAAAAGATTTCATTAAAGTGAAGAAAAAGATGATTGATGCATGTTCACTATACTTAATTATAAAAATATGAAGACATAAAAATCAAGTGCCGGTCAGAAAGTTAAATACAACATGCTTCTGTTAAGAATATCAACTATTTCAAATTAACAGCTAGTTACCGTTGCAGATTTAACATTTGATTAATTGTAGCATCATATTTTGTAAACCAGTAAGAAATATTTAGTAAAATGTATCTAATTATGTAATAAAAACGTTATAATATGAAAGTGGAGGTTATTCAAACACTGATTTGATACTGATCACTATTAGTACATAATGCCATGGTTCTTGATGTACCATATCATGTAAGCTGATTGAAAATTACTTTTTCATACTTTCAGAGGTTTCTTATTATGTTGGTAAAGTTTTGTTGTACTTAGTGATGAGTATTTTATTGCAGTGTAATATAGATTTGAGTTAAGAAACATAACTATGAATATATAGAGTACAGTAAAACCTTTCTTATAATGAAAATCAATTTCATGCGGAATTCTTTACACACTGGAAAAATACTAATCCGTAGGACAAATGAAAAAAATATAATGGAGGCAAATATAACAACTCAGACAGAATAAATATTACACTAAGCACTAATTATTACTAGCTCTTTAAAAGTAAGTCAAAAAACAGTGGTTCCGTATTTAAAATAATGGCTTACTTGTAAAACATCGCCTGGCTGTACAGTTAGCTCTTGAGGTTTTGCACCTACATGTAGTACATTTACAACACACCATCTAAAAGCATAGATAACAAAATTACTGAATTACTTCTGACAGAATTTAGCGTAACAATTTATTTGGATCAGATATTTGATATCATAACAATACTACGCAGTTATGCTAATCGTGAAGCAATAACTCGAAGTTCATTATTGGTACATATGACACATGAAACTTACTTGTGCATACGACTTATTATACATTTGAAATAAATCATGTTAACGGTGACTACAACCATACGATGCATTACTATTTAATGAATTGGGTCATTTTTAATACAACAATAGTTTACAGTAATTGGTCAGTTGTAAATTAATACAAAGTAATTGACAACAAATTTCTGATTTCAAGTGTTTCTTCAAATTAACACCAACTAACTTGCTCGCACGTGTTTTATGCGTCACTGGTTCGATCGATAATTCGCTACTATCTGATTGGCGGTATCGTTGCGTTATTCAATATACAGGGCACACAGGTTCACAAGCTATAACAATTAGTGACGGGGTAGGAAACAAATTTTGAACCCTCAATCTTCAACGTCAGCCTGTAATTGGACGAAATTCAGTCTAATTATTTCGAGCAATCAGCATCTAGATTGGTCATCGGTGTTCTTGGAAGACATTGGTTGTTAATTAATCATACAGTATTTCTCATTACCGTGCTGATTCAGAAAATGACTATCTCTTCCGATCAATTACAGTTGTTGTTTGAGCGACAACAGCAGCGTTTCAAAAATACCCAGTTGAATGTTTTAGACAATTTACACACACGGCTGCTAAATCATTCATGTTTTGGAGATGTAACAGAAGTTGATAAATTAATTTCTAATTTACATACCGAGCTGGAAAATGACTGCAGGACGTATGGATGTGTCGATAAGGGCCTCTATGAATCCTTGACGAGCAGTGATGTAAGCGAAGCAGTAGCAGTTATTCATGATCCGCCCAGTGGTCCAGAAATATCCATTTCACAGACATGCCCTGTCGTGGGTTCAAATCCCATTGCCCCCGAAACACCATGTATAAACACTGACTCGTCCAGCTCACAGACAGACGACGTCTTATTAAATGCTCATGAAATTATTGCAGCAGCCGCCCGCGAAGAGACAGAAAATGAATCAAGCGGCATAATGAAGACCGTTGCATCAAATGGAGCTCATCACTCCAGACCAAAATTTTATGATGAATCTACTTATTAGAGTTCTCTAGTTGTTTTATCAAATATGAGTTATTTTAATGACTCCTATGCTTTTGATCAAATTTCTTACAAAAATGAGAAAAATTTGTCGGATGCATCAGACGATAATCAAGAACCTAATAAAATTTTGATAGATTCTGATTATTCTAGTGATCGACTACCTACTAATGAGATTTTCAAGAAATTCGATGACAATGTTTCAGAAGAATCAAACTTTGATGACCCCATATCAAACGTCGTTGGTCCTCACCATTTAACCACTTTTAGTAAATTCTCTGTTCAATGTGACAAATATGTTTTAAATAAAGTCAAATTAATTGTAACTTGGGAATATGAGGATCCAACACTGTTTGGGGGGCGGGGTGGATAAACTCGGAAAATTTAAAATCCGGATCTTCAAAAAGGGGAGGTGTTGTTTCCCGATAAGAATAATGAATGGTTATTATTGGGATTCATTTATGGAACAATACTATCAGTATATTTTTATCGTATAATTGTTATGCAACTAAACTGTTCATATTCATATCGCTCTTATTATAAGCTTTTATTTGACTAACGGACTATTATTATACGATTTACCATTCTTGAGTTATGCCCTGTCTATTGATTACTATCTCCCTCATTCACAGTCACTTTTGGTCAAATATTGTACATATGTTGTTTTCTATTTTATGGTACGTTGTGGTCTGTTTGATTGGTATATAAACCCTGTATGTTTGAAATAAATGATTCATATTGCAGAGGCTGAGATTGGTGTTCGGGACTTGACTGGCTGGGCTAGGCGGGAAGCAGGACTCTAGGCTGCTCGCACGTGTTTTATGCGTCACTGGTTCGATCGATAATTTGCTACTCTCTGATTGGCGGTATCGTTGCGTTATCCAATATACAGGGCGCATAGGTTCACAAGTTATAACATAACTCCTTTGTTTCTCTGATATGTATGTCAGTAGTATATTAGTATACATATATATACTAGTATACTGCAACTGAGTCAGTTAGAATTAATTTACTCTTAGTTATAGTAATAAAATATACAAAAACATCTGATCATGGAAATATAATGGAGAAAGTACTTTCAAATTAGGAAGATCAAAAGTTTTAAACATAACTTATTTATCATTTATGTTAACAACATAAAATAAGTTGAGAATATATCACGTGAACAAATAAATGATTGAAACATATATAATTATGTACTTACTTTTCTTCAGAATCCCAACGACGTTGAGGGTGGCTACTACGTTGATCCATTGACTTCACTCTTTGTTCTGGAGATTTTTCCACTGTAGCTACGAAGAAAGATGATAGGTGTGGTGTTAAGTATATGGAACTGATTAAGACAAAATGCTATAGAGCTCATATAAAATCTTACAAGAAAAGTGCAAATATATGTAAAAGCATACATAATCTCTTTTGCCTGTTTGTTGATAATAATAATAATAATAACCAAAAATAAGAAATAGTTGGATTACCATTAGTAAGATTTAATACTGCTGTATTCACATTGTCCATAGGTACGGTTTCCGTGCCTAGAAAAAGTAACCGGTTTAATCTTACAAACACTATAAATTATAGGCATTTAGAATAACTCGATTAAAATCAAACAATCACACTACATAAGAAAACACACTCGTGGTGACAAATTATATACTGAATACTGCTGTCAGATCTCGACTGACTACACTACTACATGGAGATCACTGTATTTCTGAGTAGAAATGATCCGGAATCTAAACCAAATTAGTTACAGGCTCCGGAAAAATCTATCAGTGATTCTATACTTTGATCACAATTGAGTTTCGATGTAGTCAGAAAGCGTACGTAAATAAGCAGAAAGATCGCTAAGAAGAACAGGTATTAGAATTATGTTTACTTCGATTTCGATATAGCATTATCTTCTCGAGAAAAATCTATCTCAAGTCAATTCAAGCGAGTTACCATATTTCAGTTACTGTAATTTGAAATACTGTATAATTAATAATAAATATTCGATAAAAGTTAATTTCTACATTTCATGGGTTTTGTGATATTTATTCCGTGTACCAAGTAGTATATTAGTGATGCATTAAGTTATAAAGTATGGTATTCAAGTTTCAAATAAATTGATTGGACAATTTTTTATGAAAGTTATTTCATCTTAAAATTTAAGTGGAAGAGAAATTTAAAAAAAACTATCTGACATCTATTCAATTTATTTATATGGGCATTAACAGTTGATCTATTTGAAGTTTCCCGGTGATCATATACATTCTTCAAATGAAACAAAACATATGAAGATTAAAACACTACACATAATGATTATTCGACTTGATTTCACTTTTAGAGTTTTATTTAGAAGTGATTACCTTCACTTACCAATTTGACGCACGGGTGAAGGAGTTCTGGCTCGTTCAGAAGGAATAGGAGAATGGCGTGGTGAGATTGTTTGTGTCTGAGAAAAAACAATATATTTAAATTTATATCGACTTTAAATTATATTATTGAAAATGGTTAGAAATTTAATGCAATGCAAACCTTACAGATAATACAGACTTTCATGTTTAGCCCATAAAATTAATGAGAAGAGTGATATTTTCCGATAATATAACTCTGTCTATAATAAGTTGGTAATATATAATATATACAGCTAAACTTTACAAGTACTTGGGCATAAAAATGGTACTGATTACCAAGACATTTGGATAACAAAGGAGTATTAGCTTAAGATAGGCTAGTCATTTTTAGTTACCACAGCCCAAAGTTTTGTGAATTTACTTTGATGTATAGTTTGAAGAAAATGAAAGTTAAAGAATCTTGAAAGTCAGAAAGAAACATTCTATTATTTTGACTATGTTCAAGTGAAAGTATCGTATTTCATATCGTTTTATCTTTAACAACTTTGTTCAATTACTTAATTAAATAGTGATCAACGTTTTCCAAATGATATGAAAAAATATAACGTATATTTTAGACCAATTTCATCTTTTCACTACATTTTCGAAATAATGTAGTGAGCATTCGCGATTCTAAGAAGAACAATAGCCATACTATTTGATAACGACATGATCTGAACGTTTTAATACTACGAGTATAAAGGTTTGCTTACTGCTCCCTGAAAAGTATAAAATCGGTCAAAAACGTTCCAGTTTTTATCTAAGTGGTGTTTTATTCTATTCAGTGAATACATTGAAATCGTCGAACTGTCATTTTACTAAATCTGGAAGAATAAACTGGTGTAATATTCTAAGAAGATCAACTTGAATCAAGTCAAGGAATTTGAGAAACGTTAAGAATAAGTACTTTTTCAATAATTAATGATAATTTCTTGTTGAACTAGTGAAGATTAACATCCTTAAGAATAAATAAAACCTTCAATATGTATTTACCTTGAAAAAAACCCTTATTCATTGAAAATTTCATTAGAATATCAAAAGATGACTCGTAAAGGGAATTATATTATAATATTGATAATCATAAGTTTATTTTGTCCTTTAATAATTTCGAGTTAATTTCCCTAAACATGTCAATCAATAAAGATACCTTTGATCTTAAATTTTAACGACATAATCTAGCAAAAAAAAAAAGAAACCCCTTTTTCAAGTTTTCTTGTTAATGACTTATAAATAGAGTCGTTTTTAATGTGCTCATAGACATTTCAGGTGTATACAAAATAAAATAATAATTAACTTACAAAACAATGCCACCATTCTTATTTATTTAATGATATAATTGATATGATTTGTTCAAGAAAAATAGTAGTATGAATTAACTCATATAGAAAACAATAATATATTTAAAATGAAATATAACTTACTACTTTTATTTCAACATCCCCCTATAAAAAAGAATATAATTATGACAAGAAAAAAGAAAAGAAATCGACGATAAATTACACGTTATTCTGTAAAACAAATTTTATAATATAAATGAAATGAAATGACTGAGAAATGCTGAATTAATGATAGAATGATGTTGATTATTTCGTCATTGTTATTCTAATTACTGACTAATGATTTGTGAACAGTTGAATGATCTTAGTTGAATACTTCGTGTATATTATAAACAACGGCTTCAGTCTCCTCTTTTAGTATAATCAATTACTTAGCAGATGAAAGTTAATTCAGTTTAATTTCTAGGAATTGGTTTCATGAGAAATGGATCAATTTGTTTGTTTTTTGAGTCGTTTTAGTATAATTATCAAATTCTTTTGCATCTCCATCATCAGAGAATTAAGTTGTTTATTTAGTTTTTTGAAGTCCCTCGAAGTAGTAACCATGTTTAGTTCGATTGAATATTTAGAGAGAAATTAGAAATTATAAGTCTGTTGGTAAACGTTTAATGAAAAAAAACAATTTATTATTACTGGATGTCATATGGAACTCAGAATGTGGAGTGCATGTATCATGCGTAACTTGAGACTGTGTGAATAGGAGAAATGTTTCGAAGAAATATCGACCAAATGATTCATATATATTCATTTATATTATGACAAAATTGATAATTACTAATAGAATTATCAAGTTCAAATTTTAAGGGATGAGATGGTATTAAGCTCATTGAACAATAATGACTTAGTGGGTTAATTAAAAACAAATATTAATGTGAACTGCTAATAATTAGCATTAAACATAAAACAGGATAGATGATATTGATTTAGACAGTTCAGAATGTTAGAAATTAAACAGTAGTGCCATCAAAATACGTCTAGTTAATCATACTGAGGCTTTACAAATCTTTTCTATATATTCACGCTGAATAGTAAGCTGATTTGATCTAGTCACAATAGTTGAATACATTTATTTACTAAGAATGTAAATACATTCAGAAATGTGGTTCTAAGGGCATGGAAACTCTATAAATCACTGTTCATCCATTTTCATTTGGTATAGTAGTCCGCAATCGTTTATATCACAATCCGTAGCTGACTCAAATAAAAAGTGGCCCAGGTAATTTTAAGAAATTGATTAGTTTTTACATAGTATTCATGAATTAGGTGGTTCAACAGTAAAATTAGCTAAAACAAAGAAGTAAAGCATCTTTCATATTATATTTGTCGATAGTATTTATTCTTATTTAAACCACAATTAAGTTATAGATCCTGATACACATATTACTAAACATTCTATCATTTACTATTACTAGATAGCTAAATGTTATTAATAGTATTATTATGATCATAATGAAAAATAAACTATCATGAAATCAATGCAAATTTTACATGATTAGTGTCTTTTTGACAAATTCTTATTTATTTATTTATTTATGTGAATGGTGAATAAACTGAATTCCATATTTTAAATTCTAATTTTAATCATCATTACTGTTATTACTATGATTTATATTTCTGAGATGTTGAATACGATCAATCAATTTTCTTCTTCTGTTTATAACAATAATAATAGTAATAGTAATAATAATAGTAATAATAATAATAATTATTATTATTATTGCCAATAATTTTCTACCGTTGGTTACATATTCTAAAAAAAGTTTGTAAAGAAGAAATTCTCAAGCTTTATTATATTTTTCTTAATACATAAACAATTACTTATTGGTATAACGTTGGTAAAGTGGCCGTTTTTTCACAAGAATAAAATGCTGAATTATTATATTTTATTGGTATTCTGAGAATTCATGATATTTCTGAATTTGCAAATGTATTATCAACAGTATACACATATATGATGGATATGTGTTAGAATATTTGGGTTTAATTCATACTCTTCCAATCTTGTCCAATATAAAATATAGTGTAAGTTAAATGTTTAGCTTTAAAAATATAAAATTTAATAAGTCCCGGGAGTTATAGAATCAAGTTAAAAATTGGCGTAAGTGCTCTGAAGCTAATTAGTAATTTAATCTAGTTTTTAACCAGAGACTAAGAGAGATATCGATGGGTAGAATGGTAAATATTCTAGATTACTGGCCGACAGTGTTAGGGATGCAGAGGAATATACCAATAATTGTCGTGTTAAGTCTAATGGTGTCGCTGGACGTTAAATGGACATTTCCATTAGTCGATATTCATTTCACCTGTCAAATATTGTACAAATGTTGTTTTCTATTTTATGGTACGATGTGGTCTGGTTGGTTGGTATATAAATAGAGTATGTCTGAAATATAATGATTCATATCTCAGAGGCTAAGACTTGCGTTCTGGACTCAACTGGCTGGGCTAGACAGGGAAGCGGGGCCAATCAAAAACCCTAGGCCGTTCATTACGTGTCACTGGATCGATCGATAAATACGCTGCGCATCTAACCTGCAGTTCACACGTTACAACAGATAGAGGTGAAATTGTAGAAGTGTTGTGTTCAAAGATTACCAAGTTCGTAATCAAACCATAGTCTTCTTAATATAAAGTTGTTTATTTAGAAGCTCAAGGATCTTAAATTCATTTAGCTGAACAATTAATATATAATGCTAGTTGATGAAACTTACCACGCTTGGCGTTACTATGTTAGCTTCGGCATGCCATGTTTGGCGTTTATTAACAGATTTAGAGGCAAACTGTGGGGAATATCGAGCGAGATGTTCGCTCCATCTTTCACTAAAAATAAACAAAATAAATTCAGAATGAAACGTAAAAAACCGTTTAAGTTATCGATAAGTAATCTTAAAACAACTGTTTTTACTGATTTCCATATTTGGTAGTCATTATATTACTTTGTTTAGAAGATATTTTGCGTATAAAGCAAGCGAAAAGTGAATATGTAAACTAAGTAACCAATAATAAATAATTTTTTGTGATACCCCAATGAGTAGAAAAACGCATTTCTGACGTTTCGTGACTTAATATAACCCATCTCCATACTCCGAAGAAGTGGCCTACATTAAGTCATAACTTAAAATGAAATAATTGCTATGCTATTTTATAGATTCTAAAATCTCTTAACAATTTAGTGATCGAACTATATCATAAAAAAGTAACAGTTAAAACGAATGGAAGTTGAGAAAAGTGAGTGACACTTTAGTTTAGACGTTTTCGTCATTAAAAAAAACTTACTCAGTGGTCAATAGTTTGCCATTTTTTATTACCTCGATATAATTCGATCAGAATTAAGGATGAGACAAAACTACATTTGTAACCATTCAGTGACTGATGAGTATAGACGTCTCTACTTACAGGAGGTCTGAATAGCTAGATGAGAGGTTCCTTAATTATATTACTGGGTAACATGTGTTCGAGTACTACCAGTCCTCTCGAGGTCTTGTTGATATTTACCACTTGGCGAAAAAGTTCTTAGCTCCTTTTTGTTGTCTCAAACCACGAAACGTCAAATAAAGTGCACTAGGAATTCGAGACATACCAATAACTACACTACATCTTGACAAATAACATTTGATCATGATTCGGACATAGAGAGACTGAAGTTGGTTATCACTCAGTGACGAAGTGACATGTGTGAATAAGGTAGTTATTTTCATTTCTTGATGGATTAGCTATTTTTGTTGACTATCAGAGTTTACATAGAATCCACTTAAAGACAAATGGATTGAATTCAAACATTTAGGAAAAACATATGTTGGGATTTTCATTATAAATAGAGAATATGTTAAAATCTTTAGTTGATAACTCAAAAATCAGGACAGCTTTTATTGCACAAGTAGAAATACAGTGCTTAGCTGAGAGTGCACACTAATGTGTTGATAAATAAAAACATAGATTGTATAGTCACACCTGAATAAATATGAAGAATTTCCAGTAGAGAAACAACTGATATGTTCTATTCGTATCAGTTAAATATAGTAACAAATTAAAACCCTTGCAGGTCAGTTACGTTATTTCTACAGTCAAAAATATAACTATCATTTGTAACCGAACAAAGGAAGGATATAGATTAAAAGCTGTAGAAAACTTTGAAACCATCACTAACCTCTTAAGGGATATGTTTGGTAGATCACAGTAGGTTGGAGGTACTACATTTAACGAACAACTAAATAAAGTCCGTTCTTTTAATTATTCCTAAATCACTAGACCATAAATTTAGTTAACGCTTCAAGAAGTAACGGAGTAGACGGGAGTCCATCCTTTTACTTCAAATAAGGAGGACTTGTTATCCAATTACTAATATCTAAACTGTTTACGCTTTCTCTGAAAACAGACGTTTATCCTTGGCGTTGGAAAATTCCATATGAAATTTTAAATTGGATTACCGAAATAAGATGAACAAGCATAATTATAGACCCAATATTATCACATTAATTATCCCTAAGATCATTTTAAAAGTAAGTGGCAAAACATTAGAAAATTTATCTGTCGAAAAACTTATTAAATGTTTGTAAAACAAATTCCTAAGAGCTAGATCTTGCATGATTTGTTAACTAGGCTTATTTAACACTCTTTGCTCAACGTAGTTTTGCGCAAATTAGTTCTATGAACGTATTCTAACATACTTAAGCTATTTGACTTGGCTAACCATCAGCTTCTTATAGATAAACTCAAACCATATGAAGTCATAGGTCTCTTGATTCCATGGTTAGACTCCTTCCTTACTTACCATAACTAAATAGTTAAAATGAACTCCTTTACCAAATGGTCATCCACTCACAAGCTTGGTAATACGAAGCACAAGGTAATAGTATTAGTAGTATAATGTAGTATTTTATGTCCTCAACTCTTTGTAGCCTGTATAAAGGATATCTGCAATTGAACTGTCTATGATATTCTTTCTTGAGAAGATGCGTCTTGCAAACAATGACAGTGACGAGTGAGGTTATGGAAAATTCTGAACCGGAAAAGGATTAGAATCAACTGTTTCCGGGTAACCAGTGCTTAAAAGACTAATCGATGATATTTAGTAGCTAACTTAGCCTGAACTACACTTTCTAATATACTGTTGTTCTGTACTCAACAATAATGTTCATCGCTACGTTCATATGTATAATTATTATCCTAGACAGTGTGCTTCTAACATCATTCAGGGAAGACTATGAGTTAAATCCCTTGTCGCAGTTAATTAAAATGATTGTCATGTAATTAGTTTTGTGAAATACCTGGTCAGTCAGATAAAATTGGTACATAAAGAGAAACTTCCAGTATTTTGTTAAATCTGTACTCCTTAAGAACTTTTAGAATTAACTTACTAAAAATACTTCAAATATGTGAAATATCCATATGATATTTGCACTTCAGTTAAAAATGCTTTGTACATCCGAATGGGATCTTCAGAGGAAAGGCTTAATAAATTTATGATGCAATCTTTTCTATCCTCCTATAGAAATATATTTTCTATATAACTATATATACGAGTGTACAGCTTAAGTAAATGATTTCATCGAAAAGAAAAATTTCTTCGCTGCATTCTCTTTTTCTTATTAAATAAATGTTTACACATTTCGAATATGCTAAACAGTCTTTAACAATAAAGCATCTTCGAACGTTCCAGAACATAAGTTTATTTAAACTTCTAGAGAGAGTAGCGCACTCGAAAAATCTACATTGTTTTCTTAAAATGTCTACCTAAATAAAGTGTTCTTAACCAGTCAATGTCATATGTATAATATTTAACCATTTTATGTTACTTGGTAAATTTCATGAAAAAGACACCAGTATCTGTATACATACATTATTATATGTCGTAAAAATTATGAACTTATATTAAGAAAGCACAATGTGACTACATTTTCTGTCAAGGTTTCGTTTTGTTAACTAAAAATCATGCGGGCTACATTATCAAATATAAACAAATCAATAATACTTAACCAATAAAACCAGTTTCAGAATGAAATAAATAATCAAATAAAAGCATTTGTAGTTTATATAAAATGTTCCAAGGACTTTTTGTTAAAGCGTTATTGATAGTATGATGAAAAGTTAGCGTTTATAATCTTTACATTGAGATGATTGTTACATATAACTCAAAAATGACAATCGATTGTAAGGTGGTAAAACAATTTACAAGTTATACTGATAGCAGGATGTTACGTAAAGTATAATAATGTCACGTTCTAATCGTGAAAATCAATTACTCGTTAGGACATTTTTGCATGTTAGGGTAATATCATGAAAGGGGTTTAGATTGTTAGTTTGAATCCTATTCAAACTTTTTGTGATATACACATTTATATCTTATATACGGTAAAGAAATCATTTTGCCATTGGTTAGAAGACAAACATGGATTATCTTTCAGTATTCAGAAAATTTCAGATAGACTCAGAACAAGAAATTAATACTAATAAATATTGAAAACAAAATACTGAACAAGAACACAAGTGTGGAACATTTTTCGACTTTCCATGTTTACATTCCGACTAATGTTGATCACCTATGTTTCGTCAAAAAACTGACCGACTTTAAACAACATTGGCTGCTTACTGTTAATAACTTGGAAAATAGTATTCTTAAGTCAGTTAATTAATCAACACCCTTCAAAAGTCGACCAAAGCAAAAAATGTGGCCTGTTAGATTCAAACTTAGTAATCTGGAGGTGTTATCCTTGCTACGAGGCGAGAGAATTGCCAGTTATTTCTGGAACAGTAGTAAGAAAACAGGAACTAGGATAAAAAAGTCCAGAAGCCGAATGATTTTCGGGTGATTCCCATTCTTGCCAAAATTGTCTTCGAGTATAAAAAAGATCGTTTATGGCATAACAGAAGTTATAGATTACCTGTTATCTATTTAAATATTGACATACTTTCAAAGAAACCTTCATGATACAATAAAAAACAAAACATGTAGTCAGGAAATTGAAGACTCGAATGGGGTTTAGCCAATTATTAGCACACCAAATGTCATAGAATAATAGTTAACAAAGTAAATTTTAACTTACGGTGGAGTATTCCAAGCAGGACCAAGTCCTTTCCAAAACTCGATTTTATTTTGTAATCTTTTTGCAATCGTTGCAAGCGTAGCCTCTTCCAATAAAGGTTCAACAATCTCACGCACCATATGTTGGTCATAGTCAGGTACAATATTATGTCGACAAACTTTATCCAACCACTGAACGGTGTTGAATAGTCGAATGAAAATTTTCTTTGATATTTCTTCTGGAATATGTGGTTGAATTTGTTCATTCAAATTAAAAGCATATTTTACTTTTCTGATTATTTCTTGAGCGTCTTGTTTACTTGGAAAACTTACATTGTTCGAAACTCCTTCGGCTAAATTGAAAATAAATGCTTATAGTTTTAGTTAACCACTGAAATACAGACAATAGGTAATTTTGAAATGAATAGATACATCACTATGATCTTTATATTTTCACACGCTCATTACATCACGGCAATCTTCCTTTTACATATCTCCAATCGGAGTAGCAGAAAGAGAGAGGGGAGATTATAAATACTTTTACGATTAAGATGCATAATTCATGTGCGGTATGACACTATAATGTCCAACAATTTATAAAGAACAATAAGTGCATCATCTAGATACATTTAACGGAGAGCTAAGTGATACGTTTTTATCAGATGGGTTTTGTGGAGAATGTAGTAATTTCAATGATTTTTAGTTAGTAGACTGTTATTTTCAAAAAATAAAAGGTAATAACAATTACTAGGTGGTAAAAAAACTTACATTTAGGACTACATAAGATTGACATGAAACCATTTTTCGATAAATACAACTTAAAAATAACCAAAATAATTAATAAAAAAACTACTGACTTCTGTTTTCTATTTCTCTTTTATTGCCGTGTACTACAATCACTGATCTCAACAAATTTATGTAAACCACACCAGTATAATAACGTAAAATATTTTCAGCTCAGAATGAGGATATGTCAAGGCATGTCTGATGACGCTGTCCAAAAAATACAATCAAAATTTGACAACTAGATCATCTAACCTAGGGACTTGAAACCTCTAAAACCCACATAGTGTAGCTAAAAGTTTGTCAGTGACTTCGTATACAACCGACCACCAACTTAACGATCAGTGCCGTAAGCAATTAAACGTTTCTATTTATAGGTTTAGGTAATAAATATTGTGCAGTCACCAATATTAATTGATTTTGACCAAAAATACTACTAATTATTATAATATTTCGAGTCAAGTTGTTTAAATCGTGTAAACTTTTATTTATACTTATGAATCTTTCTTAACTGTTGTAAAACGTTAAAATTAACCTACCTTTATATCATTACAAAATTTTGGTAAAAAAACTATGTTAACTGAAAACAAGATAATCTTGAAATTTAAAGCAAATGTATTATTCATCCAGTTAAGTGGGTTTTTTTTACCGATGACGGATATATTGTCAAAATAGTGATCAAGTTGTTATAAAATAGATGTAATAAAAACAATTCATCTGTACTGGTAAATAAATAACCACACAGTTATCAATTCCATCTTGTTAATGGGTGGTTAAATGTGATTTACCTTCAGAACAATGTAAATATTCATATTTTAAAGTTATTTTGCGTAAGCATGATATGTCAGTATTTAAATACTTAAATAATAGTTCAGATATAATGCTATAATTGTGAATCACAGGTAAAAAATCTGTTTACTTAAAAAGTTGATAAATAACTAATCTTTTGTCTTTTGGATAAATGTAAATGTTTAGTTTAAGAAAGTATAGAATAAAAGTTTTGTAAAATATTTAAGTAATATAGTTAACATTATGGATTGTATCATTTTGATGATGTAACAGAAATATCAGCAACCAATTTGGAGTTTGAAATAAATACATGAACTAGTATTCAGAGTTAGTTAGACAGTTATTTAGTGATTATAGCATGATAATCTGAACGGAGTTCATAATGAAAGTGAGAAAAATGAATAAGTATACAAAGTATATTTAGTTATGATTCCCAATCACATAGTGTTAAACAACAAATAATTTTTGAAGATAGTTTTCATTAAAAATTAGCACTAACTATTACACCATTTAAAATCATAGACTTAAAAAGATTTCTCGTCCCATTATAAGATTTGCCATTAGTATAAATCCAGTAATTTATCGTTAGATATTTCCTCGTCAGTCAGTTGTACACCGTTACAATTATCCAGTGATCTCAGTAGGGGCCCAAATGCCCTGGTACGGCCGAGAGTGGGGTGAACCCTTCCTCCCTCTCGAGATGCTCTCACACGGCCACGCGCATACAGCCTTTGTCAGGGAAGTCTTACTCACTGCCTTCTCGTAGTGGGGGTGTTGTTTACGAAATCGAGAGGACGAAAAGCGAATATCCGGCGCTTTAACCGGATCCCAAACCGATGGTGCACATGGGCTCCAGTATCCTGAGAGAACAAATGTGTGTAAACCAAATTTTGGTCACGGGCTACCATGGGACTGCATCTCCCTACGGTGCTCCACTGCATTGTGTGTTAGACCTCTAGGTCGAAGGCTTGGTGTGTGGCCCTATAAGAAAACCACCTGCTTCGGTCTGGGCACCCGGGCAGTATCACAGCCCACACACAATTATGATGAACTATCGATAATTATGGAAAATACTTTTCTTGCTTCGATTAATAATCAAACGATTCACATTATTATTATTATTATTATTATTATTATTATTATTATTATTATTATTATTATTATTATTATTTACTACGTCATTTATCCACTCTCTTTTATTCCCATTTTGTCTATCCTTATTTTTCGACTTATACAGCAACTCGCCTATGGTGGAAATTCGGCTCTATCTAAACGATCTCGAGTCAGTGGCTGGTTGGGAATTGAATGCTATCACCGAATATGAGTACCGAAACAGTTTTTCTGAAACTACGTGCACCATTCAAAATGGCTGCCTTCAACGTTCATACACTAATGCAGATATGAAAACAGATAGGGTTGGCTATGTCTTTGGAAAGTCTTAATATCGACGTTTGTTGTCTATCCGAGACCCGTATTCAAGATCCCAGTGAAGTACTACAAATTCACTCTCCATCTGTCGCTTCAAAAAGCTTGTTTTACGTGCGTTAATCCGGAGACCCTGTAGCATCTTCGTCTGGTCTTGCTGGAGTAGTGTTGCACTAAGCGCTAGAGGCAGCACTAGACGATTGGATCCCCATTAACAGTCGGTTATGTGCTTTTAGATTAGAAGGTTCCATCAAAGTGAGAAGAAATTGGAGTGAGAAACGATGTCTATTCGTCATTTCCGCCTATACTCCGACATATCGCAACCCGGATGCAATCAAGAATGAATTCTACCACCAGTTATCTGTTCTTCTCTAGAAAGTGCGTTCGACAGATATTGTAGTACTAGCCGGAGACTTGAATGCTCAGCTCGGGCGTCTAGGCACAGAAGAGAATCGTTCAGGTGGCCAATGGGGACTTGTTGGCCGCAGGACAGATAACGGGAATCGTCTACTGTGGATGTGCACAGACCACAACCTGGCGTCCTCCCTCTGCATCTCAAGCCTGGACTCAGATTGATCACATCGAGATCAGCTACCGCTGGCGCGGTTGTGTACAAGACTGCCGCTCCTGTTGAAGTACCTATATGGACTCTGATCATGCCTTGGTCTGCGCCAATCTTACCTTACTTTTCAGTGGACAACGAAGTGACCGCCACCAAAGGATTGATGTCAGCAAGTTGGTTGCAACTTCTGTTGCAAGTAAGTATCGAACCGAGCTAGCTTCTAGGCTAGCTACCATCCCACCAAAAAGTATAGATGAGCATTGGTTGCAACTTCATGACGCCATGAAAATGGGGAGTAAATCCGTTTGCAGGTTCACGAAACGTCCCGCTTATAAGTACCGTGTTTCTTCTGTCTCCCTACAACTCATCGAAGCCCGTCGGTCTACTCTGGGTGACCGTGAGTTTGACCACAAACGAAGGCTGTTACGTAATGAAATCGGGCAAAGCTTGCGTAAGGACCGAGAAGCCTGGTGGTCGGAGCGTGCTAATGAGCTGGAAGCAGCAGCTGCATCTGGTAACTACCGGAAGCTCTTCCAACTCATCCGAGCCATTGACAGCAAGAAGTCTGGTGTGAGCGAAACAACCTGTGGGGATGACGGGGTGCCAGCCACTAACATCCATCGACGTCTTGAACGATGGGCAGAATTCTTCGAAGGGCAGTTCAACTGGCCTGCTGCTCCGGCAACATCAGTCAGACTGTCCTGCCCTTCATAGCCAGTGATGACTGATCCACCAAATGAGGCGAAAGTCCGCAAGGAACTCCAACTCTTGAAGCGCTACAAATCACCGGGCACAGATGACTTACCTCCGGCTCTATTTAAAGATGGTGGTGACTTTTTGACTAAGGAACTGACGACGTTGTTTACAAAGGTTTGGGAGCTAGAGAGTGTACCAACGTCATGGAATTAGCCGATAGTTGTCACTATGTTTAAAAAGGGTTCACGTCGTTCCTGTAACAACTATCGGGGGATAAGTCTATTTCCGATTGCGTCCAAACAATTGGCTTCTGTCATACTTCGTAGATTGTTCAAAAACCCACAAAGATTGAGTCGCGAGGAGCAGGCTGGGTTTCATTCTGGTCGAGGATGTATTGGTCATATCTTCACCCTTCTCCAAATGTTAGAACACCGCCATACTTTTCAAAGGCCAACAATCGTAGTGTTTCTTGACATCAGGGCTGCCTTCAATTCGTTGGATAGGACTGTTCTCTGGGATTGTCTATTGAAGAAGGGTGTGCCTGAGAAGTTTATTAACATCCTAAAAGCCCCATATAAAAACACCTCAGGCAGAGTGAGAGCATACAACCACCTCTCTCCATTGTTCCATTCGAGCAGTGGGGTTAGACAGGATTGCCCAATCTCACCATTCCTCTTCAACTTCGCCATCGATGACGTTCTGGAAACAGCTCTGATGGATGCAAGTAATGGCGGTGTGGATCTGTTGCCTGGAGAAAGACTTCTCGACCTTGAGTATGCGGACGATATCGTCTTACTATGCGATAATGCCTAAGCCATCCAATCCGCACTTAATCAGTTGGCAATCAGTGTCCGTAGGTATGGTATGTGCTTTGCACCTTCGAAGTGCAAAGTACTTCTACAAGACTGGCAGGATTCCAATCCTGTACTCACCCTGGATGGTGAGCCGATAGAAGTAGTCGAGAAGTTCGTTTATTTAGGTAGCTGCATAAGTGGTGGTGGTGGCATCACCATGTTATTAATGCAGAGGTTTTGCATCGTGTGTTCGGGCACAGAGACGATAATCTAATTGGTGTCACCATCTTGAAACATCGAATTC